CAGGGGCGGCAACCGCACGTACGGTGCGGTGATGCCACGAAGACTACTTCTGGGCACTTGAACCCCAGGGGCCGACGTCAGCATGACGTGACCCCGGGAATCGCGCGAGGACTCAAAGGAAACGGCTAACTCAACGATTTGAACTTCGCCAAAAGGCCGAGAAGCGATGCAATTCATTAGCACGTAATTAAAATCCATTCTTTCACACCTCGTACTTAGTTCTGGCCAAAAGCCGGGCAAACAGTGGCAAATCAATTCCGACGTCCACCCATGCACAACCAGAATTGTGCACCGACAGCGGCAGCGCTGGCTTCACGGCATTGCTTTTATCCCTAGTCCGCTTGAAGTTTCTTGTTTCGCTTAAAACATGTTAAAACTGAAACCTTCTTTTTCCCAGAGGTTGAAGCCACGCGTGCTTGCTTGCACGCGTACTCTCGAATGCGCCCATGACGTCACACCAAATGCTTGCCAGCGAACATTATCAGGCATGTCCCGAGGGATGCTACAGCACTTCTTTTAAAAACTGATGCATAGTGTACATGTCCAACACGAGCACCAAAGCCTGGAAGGAAAAAAGAAAAAAAAATGACTGTGCAGAATGTGACTACGTCACTCATCCAACAAAGCTTCTATGCTGGCTGCCCAAGCAACGCCTCTGCAACGACGCCCACAATTATCGGCAAAAAGGTGGTGCCTTTGGCTGCTTCAGCGCGCTAAACGCATGCCTTGCAATTTCCGACGTGGCAGAACACCGCACCGAAGTCGACGAAGGTCCTGCCGTGAAAGGCAGACCTGGCAATGCGTGCGAAACGTCTGCCGCGTGCGTTGTGAAGCCGGTGAACGAAGGGTCATGTGGCCGAGGGTGACGAAACGTGAGTGTGCGACAAGCCGCTGTGATGTCGTTCAAGCGTTCAACCGGCCGGCAGGCTGTGCCTGTCGTGGTCGAAAATGTCCAAGTTTTTCTGATTCCGAAGGGCAGGAGTGCTACGGTGGCGTGTACGAGGCGCTGGTGCGGCGCTCCGTCGATCGTGCCGGACATGAGGCGGCAGAAGGTGGCCGTCAAGTGGTCGCGGAAAGCAGTGGATAAGTACTCGCCTGCGCTTTTCGTCGAATTCCGCTGAGTAAGGTGCCAGAATTCTCGTGACAGACGGTCTTCGGGAGACGGGTGGCTGCACAAATGTGACCGTGCGGCACCGTGCAGCCATATTCGTGGATTATTTCGCCCCACTACGATATCTTCGTCACTGCGCTCGCTGGTGTTGCTTGTTTTTGTCGACCTTCACTTGTGGCTCATACCCATTGTGGGGGATGGGCCGGTCTGTTGTTCTGCTTCTTCGACTTCTACATATTCGGCTTAGTGAAGCTGTGAGGAGTGATTAGTGGGTACAGAGGGAAAGCGCAGCAAAGCGCGCCAGGGGCGTGATCTCACGCGTCCTGGGTTGCACAGCGTCTCAGGTACGTGCGTGGGGCGTCTGTACGTCGAGAGTGCAATTTTCTTGGAACTTCCAGCAACTGGCCATTCCATTCAGGTGAGCGTGCGAGGATGTTTGTTGTAATTAACGAGAGTCCACGGCGCATGAGCTGGTATGGGTTAGTGTCCAGAAATGTAGTGTGCGATCAACAAGGGGATGCCCGCCGTGGTGATCTAGTGGCTATAAGGTACTTGGCTGCTGACTCGCGGGTGGTGGGATCGAATCCCGGCTGTGGTGGCTGCATTTCTCTGTGCTCAAATAGGGTGCACGTTAAAGAACCCCAGGTGGTCGAAATTTCCGGAGACTTCCATTACTGCGTCTCTCAGAGTCATGTGGTGCTTTTGCGATGTCAAACCCCACATATCATCATGCCATCATCAAGGCGATGGGTGAGGGTGCCAGCGAGGTAGCTGACCGCATGGCAACGAAATATAGCCACCGTTGGCGGAAGCTCGGACCCAGGTCAGTGGACACAGGAAAAGCACATCGGGGCTTTGCCGCTCCACCGTACAGCAGGTGTGCGCGAGGTGTGTCCTGTGGCGTTCTTTGCGATTTCTTTTGTAATGGGGAATAGTGTAGATGCGTAGACGTGGCGAGAGCACGCGTCTTCAGGTTAAGACTTCGCGTGAAGATGTGAAATAAAAATGCCTTTGCTTGTTACTGCAACTGTAAACAGAAAAACCAACACCCGTTTTCTAGAGGCTGTTAGATTTTTTTGTTCCGAAATGAGTGAATTCGAAAAGCGGAAGTAGCTTGGCACATACACACTTCTATCTTTGCTCTGAAACAGTAATAATAAATTACTCAATAGTTTTTTAATATGAGTAGGGATGTGTGAAAAAATTTGGAGTATGTACATGTGAACATAACCAAAAAAAAAGAATGGGCTCTCCAATTATGAAATTTCCACACAAACATTTATTTTGCCAGAGCCATCTTAAGTGTGAATGAACACAGCTAGTGCACTCCCTGCACGCGAATACCGAGCCGCCGCGAATACCGCGTCAGCCGGGGCAGCGTGACGCCAACGTTTCGGACACTCGCCGCACCCACGCCGTTTACCCCGATATCCTTGGTAAATCCGAACACTCTTTATTTCATTGAGTTTAATATGGAACTCACCCCCGCAGGAGTCCCGCACCTACCCTCTGCAGGTTTACACGCCCTGTGAGCCTATTCGAGTGCACCTTCGTCTGCTGACCCGACATGCACAGCACGCATTGTCTTCGCTACAAGTGGACCGACCAGGCTGTACCTATTCGCGATGCCCCGATACGCATAGGCACGTGATCCCTTCAGGCTGTGCACCTGCCGTAATCCCAGCAGTGCCTCCATGGACATTGACTAAACGCTGGTGTGCCATCACATACGTGGGATTTCGTATAAGTCACGTGTTTCTTATGTTGCCCTCAAGCAACTCACCTTGGCACAATTAGATGACCGATACAGCGACTCTGTGCACAATTACACCGATGGATCCGTAACTTCATCCACCTCAGCTGCAGTCTTCATGATCCCTGAACTTGGTATTCCCCGACTGTACAAATTAGATTATAGGTATTCTTCGACAGCTGCAGAACTTGTTGCTATACAAGAAGACGTAAAATGTGTGAACGACCACGCACCGCGTAAATTGACGATTCTGTCTGATGCAAAACCAGCGCTTCAAGGTATTCATTCTTGCTCAAGAAGAGGAAAATTTTACGAGTTAGTGTTAGGAATCTTCCAAGCATTTGACCTGACACACAGGAGTGGTCACTTGATTACACTCCAATGGATTCCTGGACACTGCGGTCTGGTTGGCAACGAAACAGCCGATAGGGAAGCAAGAGTGGCAGTATACAACGCTCCTATGTACGTCAAAGTGTCGTATTCGCGAAGTGACGTCAACACATTGTTGAGATCACTCGTGCGCGAATGCGCTGCCACTTACTGGTCGCTACCAGATCACCGGAACAAGCGCCTGTGGGAAATAGACCCCGGTATGACTTTTCGTCTTCCAGATAAAATCAGCCGAAGACATGCTAATATACTGCACCGAATAGGCCTGAGCGTTGCCTTCACTCGCCACTACACCCACCTAATTGGCCGTGCGGACAGCTCGAATTGTGAAGGCAGCCAAGTGCGCGAAACGATAGCTCACATATTTGCTAGCTCACATATTTAGATTTGCTAGCTCACATATTTGCTAGCTCACATATTTGGATCGAATCCCGCAGCCGGGATTCGATCCCACCACCCGCTGGTGGTGGGATTGAATCCCGGCTGCCGCGGCTGCATTTCCCTGTGCTCAGATTAGGGTGCACGTTAAAGAACCCCAGGTGGTCGAACTTTCCGGAGACCTCTATTACGGCGTCTCTCATAATCATATGGTGGTTTGGGAAGTCACATCCCACATATCATCATTCCGTCAACAAGGCGATGGCTGAGGGCGCCAGCAAGGTAGCTGACCACGTGGCAACAAATTACAGCTACCGCTGGCAGAAGCTGGGACCCAGGTCAGTGGACACAGGAAAAGGACATCGGGGCTTTGCCACTCCACCATACAGCAGGTGTGTGCGGGGTGGGTCCTGTGGCGTTCTTTGCAATTTTAATTTGGGATGTGGGATAGTGTAGATGCGTAGACGTGGCGAGAGCACGTGTCTTCAGGTTAAGACGTCGCGTGAAGATGTGAAATAAAAATGCCTTCGCTTGTCACTGCAACTGCAAACAGAAACACCGACACCCATTTTCTAGAAGCTCTATTATTTTTTGTTCCGAAATGGTGAATTCAAAAAGCGGATATAGCTTGGCACATACACACTTCTAGCTTTGCTCTGAAACAGTAATAATAAATTACTCAATAGTTTTTTAATATGAGTAGGGATGTTCAAAAAAATTTGGAGTATGTACGTGTGAACATAACCAAAAAAAAGAAGGGACTCTCCAATTATGAAATTTCCACACAAACATTTATTTTCCCATAGCCGTCTTAAGTGTGAATGAACACAGCTAGTGCACTCCCTGAACGCGAATACCGAGCCGCCGCGAATACCGCGTCAGCCCGGGCAGCGTGACGCCAACGTTTCGGACACTCGCCGCACCCACGCCGTTTACCCCGATATCCTTGGTAAATCCGAACACTCTTTCTTTCTTTGTGTCTAATGTCGAACTCACCCCCACAGGGGTGAGTGGGCCAAGGCCGGAGGTAGTACGATAACAGGCCGACCCGTGGCGGAGGTGAAGAAAGCTTCAAGCACTCCGCCGCATCACAAAAATAAGTTTAATATCTTGGATCCAAGTAGGATCCGTCACAGATATTAAGCTGATAAGAACAGACTTTTTATTCATTAAGACGCACACAAAAACATCATGATGGTTAAAAAAGAACTCATACAAAACTGAGCATAAGTGTATAAGTTAAAATCAGCTAACGAAAGGGCTAAAAACTCTTAGTACAAATAGGTTAAAAATGATAAAACTGTAAAGGTGTATAAATCTGAAAACACGAAATATCGCAACTCTAAAAAACTTTGGCTATATACAATGTCACTGTACACCGATGTGGCGGCGGTAAATGTCCGTGGAAGCCGCGATCGTGTCACTGACGCACAAGCGTTTCATTGTTCGCAGATAGTTCTTAGAACACAGTCTGCGCGTGACACGATCGTTCGCCGGATCCCACGACCCCAGGCAGCCGACGACGATGGCTTCGATGGAGACGCGCTGGAACCGTCGGAGGAGATGTCGCTGTAAGGGGGCGTACTTCTCCTCCTTAAGCCTCCGGGCTTCCTGGAACGCCTGCAGTCTGTTGTCAAAAGGGCAGCAGACGTCCAGGATCAAGGCTTCCTCGCCTCGTGCCAGGACCAGGTCAGGTCGCAGGCCGGGAAGTCCGACCTGTTGGTTCTCCCCGATGACGGTGAACCTTCCCAGGGCAGCCTTCTTGATACGTGCGACGATGGCGTTGTGGCGCTCCGTCATTGCCCGGCTCTGCCGCATACAATGGCAGAGTACGTGCGGCAGCGTCTCCTCCCTGTACCCGCAGCGTCGGCACCGTTTATCTGCTGCAGGTACCCAGGTACGTGTGCCATTGAGGGGGAGGAGATTAAGCCGGGCTCGATGAATGAAGCGCCACTCCTTGAACCTGGTGTAGCGGCCGGTCCGCATGAAGTGGGAGTTAGCGGGGTCCGCCGCTACACACGCCATCGCCTTGCCCTGGTTTGGCTTCGCCTCGAGGGAACGGTCCCGGTTCTGGCTGAGGATGGCCCGGAGAGTTCTCACCAGCTTGTTCCGGTTCCGCGCGGACACCGTGGCCTCCCCGCAGGTGATGCGGGCGCCCTGGTCTTGTAGCTCCCAGGCGACAGTTAGGCGACGGGAGGCTTTGCGGGCCTCCGTCCAGACAGACTGAAGTTGAGTTGGGGTCTGTCTGAAGTCGCCTTCCGTGTCGCCCGAGAGGTAGGCCTCGATGTCCTCGTCGTCAGCCTCGCGTCGGAGCCGCCTGGAGACCACCTGGTGCAGCGCCTCCCTTGCCCGCTCCCGAACCTCCGAGTCCGTCGACGTCAGGAGCTTGAAGGCCCCGTCCACCCGGCAGATGTCACTCAGCTCCGCCGCCAAAGGGATCCCTGCAGTGCCGGCCCGTGCGCTCCCGTACACGTAGTCGTTAGATGCTCTGGCCGGAACGTACAGGGTCTTCTTGATGAGGGGGCGGAGCTCGTCATCCAGACGCTGCCACTCTCCCTTGCTGGCGAGGCCCACCCGCATGGCGAAGTTGAGAGCTGGATATAAAAAAGTTTTAACTGCATCCAGCCTCTGCCACGGGGTGAGCATTGAGGAGAGTAGCTTCCTGCCCAGGTGGATGGCCTCGTCGACGGTCGTTTGGTCCGGGAGGACCCGAAAGCCCACAGGTCGCCCCAGGAAACGATGCCCCTCGTAGTCCGCCAGTGCCGGAACCGGGACGCCTCCAACGGTGAAAGTGGTGGGCCGTGTGCCCACCGGATAGCGCCCGGATAGGTGGAGGGTGCGGCACTTGGCGGGCTTGAGTCGCAGTCCCAGCCGGTCCGAGAGGGCTGTCACGACGTTGAGACGGCGCTGCAAGGTGGTGGGGTCCGCAGCGAGCAGAGTCAGATCATCGGCGTAAGCAAGGATGTTGTGCTGCTTATCGCCTCCCTGCACTGCCCTGATGACTGGATCCACCACCAAGTTGAATAGCAGGCCGCTCAGTGGACATCCCTGCCTCAGGCCAGCTCTGATGGGGATAGGCTCCGTGGTGCCAGCTGCTGCCACGACGCAGGTGGTGTTGGCGCGGTAGAGCTCCTCCACGATCTCCGCGAAGGTCTCTCCCTGCGCCGGCGCCGCGGACAGCCTCAACGAGGGCCTGATGGGCGACCGAGCCAAAGGCATTGGCGTAGTCGAGGAAACCTACGCACAGCTCCCCACCTTTTGTCCTGGCGTCATCCAGGCGTCCCTGCAGCACGAAGTTGTGTTCAAACACCCCATCGTACGGCAGGAAGCCCTTCTGACACCTGGACAAGACCGCATGGTCGCCCAACCACCGCTGCAGCCGGGTCGTGAGACACCCGGCATACAGTTTGGCGATCGTTCGACCAAGGGCAATGGGTCGCCAGTTTGTAGGATCCTCGCGGTCGCCCTTCTTGTAAATCAGGATCGTCCTCGATGATTTCCAGCTCTGGGGTGTGCGGCGGTGTAAGAGACAGATGTTGAACACCGCCGCCAGGAACCGCCCGTCAGGATCCACCTGCCTCCAGTGGTGGTAGGTCAGACGGTCCTCCCCAGGAGCTGTGCTTTCGCACCTTCGGAGCTTGGCTGCGACTTCGTCTGGCAGGAAGGGGCACGTGTCCATCTCCTCTGTTGTGGGGGCTCGTGACCTGAGGAGCGTTGTATCCACGGCTACCGGGGCCCAGAGTTCAGTGAAGTGGCCTTGAAGGGTGCCTGGGTTGATGGGGCAGAGCTCGGACGGGCCCTCCGCAATGAGGCGGACGGCCCGTCGCCGGTTTCTCCTGTAAAGTCCCTGTATGAGAGAAGCATTGTCGGGGTTTATCTCACGCCGAGGTGGTGTTTGGCGTGAGCCCCGACAGGGCAGCCGAAGATGGTCAACGATGGCTGCCTCGGCGCGGTCCAGGATGGGCTCGAACCGCGCCCATTGCTCCTCCGACACAGGGCTCCGGCCAAGGTCACGTAGCTCTGCCGTCACCTCCGCCAGGAACCAGGCACTCTCGGGCCCCAGGGTGTCAGCTGCCTCGTCCTGTGTACCGTAGTTGCTGCCGGTGACGTCGCCATGGGGCGCTGTCGGTTCGGCGGGTTCTCGCCCCGCTTCGCCAAAGTTGTTTGCGAGTGTCGTCGCCTGCTCGGTAGGCGCCGACAACTCGACGACGCGCCCCATCTGCTGGTCAGCTGGCTCCTCGGTGTCGTCCACAGCTGGGCTGGCGTACTCTTCCGAGGAGCTGACGTCATCGCCTGCAGAAACTGCCTGGTTGGAGTCATCACCCGGCTGGTCGTCACCCGCATTGTCCGCCTGGTGTACTGGCGCGCTCTCCGTGCCGTCGTCGTCCGCGGAGTCACGAAGCAGCTGACTCGTCGAGACGACGGGCGTCGCTCCGAGTGCAAGCTCCCCCAGGGCCCCATCTCCGTCCATAGGAGCAGGTGTGACCTCCTGTGAGGGAGGCCCGGTCACGGTGCTTGGGGCAGGGGGGCATTGGTCCGCCGTCAGCTCGCCTTCAGCCTGCGTGGGTGAAACCGCCGACAAAAGGGGGGGATGTGGGGGTGTAGCCGGTCCAGGTGGAGGCTGATGAGGTGGCGTCCTGGTGTCCCCTGCACGGCAGGACTCTCCTGAAGGACCGGCTACAGCGGCTGCTGGTGGTGGACCGGCGGTAGCGTTCTGCCGGGCCAGGAGTGCCTCCTCCCTCCGGTGCCGTTGCTCATGATTGTAGAGCCCCTTCTTGACGTGAAGGAGCTCGAGCAGGTCGGGCACTGGTGCCGGTGAGGGGGGGGAGGGGCAGCAGCTGGAAGGTTCACCAGGCAGCCATGCGTTGTCGGCCGTTTCCCCAGCGTAGCGCCGCAAATGGTACAGTGGTATACCGTCCGGGTTATCCGCACGCCATGCTCCCCCTCGAGGTGCCGCTGCAGCGACTGGCGGCGCGACGTCCACACTTCTGGGTTGTAGGCGGTCGCGCAGCCCTCCTCGCAGCATAGAAACGTCGCCGGGAGTGGAAAGAAGAGCGTGAGGGTGGTACCCTCACGCTCAGGCTGGCGCTCCTGGACGGGAGGGTCGCCATCGTCCTCGCTGTCGTCGGGAGCAGGGTTGCCCCCGGAGGCCATGTTCCAGCGGCCCCGCTAAGCGGGACGGCCAGAAGGTCAGGACGGCCTCATGGGACGCGGCGACCACCGCTGGTCAGGGAGAGTCTCCGGGAGCAGCGGCAGGGAGGCCAGCAGGGCGACCACATAGCTGGCGAGGCGCCGGAGCAGCAGGCGGGAGCAGGGGGCAAGCAGGCGGCCCCGGGCGGTAGCGGCGAGCAAGCGCCACTGGGCCGGCGGCGAGCGGGCAGGCGGCGAGCAGGCAGGCGGGCGGAACCAAGCAGCGGAGCGGGCGGCTAGGCTAGCGACGAGCGAGCGCCGCCGGGCAGGCGGCGAGGAGGAGAGCGGGCCCAGGCAGCAGGCGGCGGAGCTAGCGGCGACACCAGGCGAGCAGGACCGGGCGGTGACGGCAGCAGAGCACCAGGCAGGCAGGCAGCGATCCAGGCAGCTGTAGGCAGCAGACACCCAAGAGCAGTGGTAGCCGTGGATAGGGCTGGGTGAGGGAGGGGAAAAAAGACGCCGCTATAACCGGGCGGGTTCCGGTTGCTTCCACGAAGATCAAAAGTGCAGGGCGGTCAAGCCACACGACTACACAAGAGAAGTTTATTGAACTTCAAACTGAAAGGACAGGTACATTGACATGTGTTTTACAAAATAAACAAGCGGGAGAACATTGAATATATACAAGTGTACGCTTACACAAGCAAATACAAAGGAGCGTGTTATCTACATACATATTTACAACCATAAAGTTAAACTAATCAGGAAAGAAAACACAAACACATTTCTTCTGCTGTGCTTTACAAAAGGAATATGCAGGGGTAGGGGGGCGTGCTGTATGTACATATTTACAGTCCTATTTACATGTAAAGAAAGACATACTAACGAAAGAGCGCGTAGCATATGTATTTACATGCTTTCGCAAAAGTATGTGCCAGAAAAAACAGGCGGGAGACGCTATATACATATATGCAATAACCAATGACCCCTTGGTGTCAACAGGCGAAGCCAGCAGCACAACACAGTGTCAAGAAACTCGCTTCACCACAATGCAAATTTCTTCATGCAAACAGGCACTACAGTGATGTATCTGGGGAGAGAGGCGAGGGGGGTCACCTTGGTTTGAAACTTGGCATGTGTCGCTCCTGAGTTGGTTGACTCCCCGGAAACCGAGAGCGGTTAGTAGCGAAAAATTGGGGCGACCAACTTGCCTTCTCTCGGGAAGAAGAGTTTCGTGTGCCAGCGGCGGAAGAACATCTCCTCTGCACTGGCCTCGAGTTCCCGAGTTAGAAGCTCCCAAACAGCCTTCTAATACGCGTAACGGCAGGTGGCGCCGCCCGAACTGGCCGTCACCGCGCTTCTGGGAGCGAGCGGCACAGCCACACAACAAAAAGAGTATAGGCGGTCACAAGCCGTGCGAACGCGCTCTTGTTGCGTCTGTGACCTGGGGGGGCGGATCCCAAAGGTATGCGCTACCATGCGCCAGACAGGCCGCGCGGCCGACCACTCGAGCAAGGCATGCTTTTGCGTTTCGGGTGCCCGGCAGTTTTGGCAGCGGTCGTCGGGCACAATGCCTAGTTTCTTCAAGCGACACCTAGTTGGGAGGACCTCCCACGCCCTCTTCCAGAGAAAGTCCTGGATATCGCAGGGTAGCAGGCTATGCAGCAGGGAGAGGTCGCGTTTAGCATGCTCCGCTCGTTGCTTGTCCTTGTCGTTGATCTGGCTTGCCGTGAGTGCCTCCACTATGCGGGCTTGCTGCTCCGCGTCGGGGTCGCAGTTCGCCGCGTCCTTGCGCAGCATGCGTGCCGTCGCCAATGCTACCCTGTAAAAGAGTGAGGGCGAATCAGCGTGCGGGCTGGAGTGTCGACCGGCTTCCAGCCAACCGTTAGACGGGCCGCTCCAAGAGCAGCAGGCCTCTCCTGACATAGTTGTCTGCTTGCGCCACCTTGCGAGCCGTCTTCAAGGCGAGCAGTTTGCTGAAGGTGAGTGCGTGCGGGAGGCCCAACCCCCCCCCCCCCCCTTTAACTTCCAACTGGAGGGGGGTTCGTTTGACGGGGGGGTGTCCTGCCCTATAGCAGGTCATTGGCTAACATGCCGAGTCGAGTGGCCACCCGCGCCGGCATCACTGTCACCCTGCTAACGTAGGAGGCCAAGGCAAGAACGCTGGTTTTTGTTGCTACCGCCTTTTCGCGCAGGGTTAGGTTGAACAGCGCTGCGCGCTCGGCTAGCCGTGCAGCCCTGTCGACGACCCGCGCCCATGTAGAAACGTCCACTCCTTCGCGGGAAAAGTACACTCCAAGAACCTTGACCGTGCTGACCGGTTCTATGTCGCCAATAGCTTCTGCGGGAAACGTGCCGAAAAGCAGTGCTCGGCTCTTCCTCTCATTCAGTTTGGCTCCTGATGCCTCAGCGTATAGCTGGAATACGCCGCGGAAGCGATCGAGGCTTCGCACGTCCTTGAGGAAGAGCGATATGTCGTCGGCAAACGCCAGGACTCTTATCTCTTCGGTACCGGTCATTGGCAGGCCCCGGATGCGTTCGTCGCTGGCCAGAGTTGTCAGCAGGGGCTCGATGGAAAGTACAAACAAGGTTGGTCCCAAAGGGCACCCTTGCCTGATGCCTCTCGTGTACCGAAAAAAGGCTGTAGTCCGGCCGTTCACCGCGACACAGCTTCGCAAATCGGAGTACAGGAGCTCGACGACAGCCACAAACTCCCGCGGGAGCCCGAAACGGCGGAGCACTTCGAAGAGCCACATGTGTCTGACCCTGTCAAACGCCTTTGCTTGGTCGAGGGACAGGAAGGCACCCGTGACTCTCTTCTGGGCCGCGTATTCGAAGACGTCTCGTGTGGCTGTGAGGTTGGCGAACATAGACCGGCCAGGCACGGCGCAGGCTTGGTGGGGAGCGATCAAGTCTGGCAAGAAGGTCCTCAGCCTGGTGTTGAGTATGGACGCCACGATCTTGTAGTCTACATTGAGTAGAGAGATCGGGCGCCATGACGACAGTTCTCGTGGGGGTGCACCGTCCTTGAGGATGAGGGCTATGCGCCCCACGCTGAAGGAGTCGGGTTTCGTGTGCCGCTGGAGGACCATGTTGACCACGGCCAGGAGCGGGGCGCACAAGACGTCAAAGAAAGTCGTGTAGAAGCTGGCCGTCAGTCCGTCGGTGCCCGGAGCCGAGTTCGGTGGCATGGCTCGGATGGCTATGCGGAGTTCCTCCTCTGTTGCTGCGCCACACAGAACTGTGCCCTCATCTTCGGCAAGTCGAGGCAGGCGCGAACACAGACTGGCCATGAGAGTTGCCTCTGGGGGTGGGCCCCAATAGTGCGGCTCATGAAAAACGGCCTCGAAGTAGTCGTGGAACTCCGCTTCGATCTCTGTGGGGTCAGAGATCAGGCTGCCGTCTGGCCGTTGCACCTCTGCGATTCGGAGGAACCGTTACCTCGCGCCTCGTTCAAGTCTGGGTCTGTTGTGTCCTCTGCAGCGACTCATGATACGCGTGCGTTGCCCGCGATTTTCCTGAAAAAGGCGGTCGTGCTGAACTTGCAGCGAGTGGAGATAGTCGCGCGTACAGGTCGCGAGGTGGTCCGCGCTCTGTACAATCCGCATCCGGCAGAGTAGCTCGTTCATCTCTTTTGTAATGCGCTTCTTCCTCACGCTACCTTCTTCTTGCAGGAACGCTCTCCATCTCGCCTTCAAGTCGTCCCACACCGCGGGACTGGTACAGGGGGTGGCCTCAATCGTCTCCTCCAGGAACGCGGATATTCTCAGGGCGCTCGTGCGGTCTTTGATGAGCGCCGGGTCGAGGCGCCAAGCTTCGTTTCTTGCATGAGGGCCGGGCGTCCCCCTCACCGTTGTAACCAACGGGAGGTGGTCGGTTCTGTCCGCCAGCCCGTCGGGGAGGGTGAGGACTTCGCACGACGCAATAGAGCCGACGAGGCGCTCGGGGACGTAGGCTCGGTCAAGTCTGCTGGCCGTTGTCCGCGAGGTTCGGGTGGGGGCGAACTCGTTTCCGTGCACGTGAACCCACGCGTCCGTGAGCCGCAGGTGTCGGAGGATCTTCACCAGCTCTTTGGCGTGGTAGGTTGAGCCTCCTTGACCCGGGCCCCGGACGTCTCTTGTGGAGTCCACGACGCAGTTGAAGTCCCCGAGAACCACGTGGGGTACGGGCTCCACCAGATTGTCGTGCAGCTCCTTAAAGTAGGTGTTAGTTTCTGATCTGGTCACCGGCGCATAAACGTTCACAAAGCGCACCTTGGACCCGTCGACGAAGACGTCGAGCACAAGCGTGCGCCCATTCGCCCCAAAACACAATGCGACTTTCGCCGGAACCTGTCCGTGACGAACACGACACCAACGCCGCAAGCCCTCGCGGATGTTAAAGAAAAAAAGCCGTCAACTTGGCAGTTGCGCCTGAATAAGGTAACATCGAGCGGGGAGCGGAAGTTGGTCTCCTGCAGAAAGAGGAGGTCGATGCCCTTAGATCGGGCAAACGTCACTACAGCAGCCTGTTTATTTCTGTCGCGAAAGCCGCGAATGTTTAATGTGGCGAACCGCAGCATGGCCATGATCCTTCAGTTGGAGCGCCGTGTCTCGCTCGGGGGGAGGAGGAAGGGTGAAGGGCAGATAACCAGGCGAGTTGGGCATCAGCGGAGCGCGGGCGAAGGGGAGCGAGGAGGGTGCTGCGCTAAAAAGGGGAAGGGGCCCAGCCAGGTGAGCCAACAGCAGAGGGTGAGGGGAAGCGGGAGAGCGGAAGGCAGCGAGGCCGTCGGAGCAGGCGCGCCGCTTCTTTCTTCAGGTAGCCTTCTCAGGACTTCGGCGGCGGCTCCCGTTTGCCCCCACCGGCTTTTGTTCAAGCTTCTGGGACTTCGCGTGAGGCGGAGCATCGCTGTCGCTGCTTTGGCCCACCGGCCCCGATCTGCGCTGCCGGGCGTCCTTGCTCGCGGTCCTCTCGCTCCCATCCCGCTGTCGTCGCCAGGGCGTCTTCGCGAGCGCGAGCGTGACGCTGCTCGAGGCCAGAGTGCGGCTGGCCCGCCTTTGCGTCAGGATTTCCGGCTTAACCGTGTGGATTGAGCAGGGGGGGGACAAGTCGAGGCGGTGTTGTTGCGCTCGCCGTCCTCGGGCAGCACGTAGTACCCCTTGCCCGTTACGGGCAGTTCGTCCAGGGCGGAGTCATGGGTACGCGCCTCCAGGTCCTCCGAAGTCACCATTGCGAGCACGTTGGCCGGCGTTAACGGCACAGAGGGGAGAGCGCTTCCCCGTTCGGTGGCGTTAGCCGGCGCCCTCTGTGCTGATGGCAGAGATTCGCAGTCGTCCTGGTCCGATGGGAGTGCCCGCGGTGAAGCGGAGGAGGACTGCGCCGAAGCTGTATCGGAGGGACTGGGGCTCCGTTTCAGACGAGGCAGTAGTAACCTCCTCACTCGTCTCCCGCCCCTCTCTCTCGCTGGCGAGTGAATCGGCCTCGCTGCTGCCTGTAGGCGGGTCGATGTTCGTGGGGTGGTCGCCTGCTTCTCTCACTGTCGCGCGGGGCGTGATCTTGGGCGTAAGCACCTGGAGGCGTGGGGATGCCTTGTCTAAGCGAGGCGATAAAGAGCCGCCAGGTTGGCCGGGGCTAGACGCGTGATCCGGAGCAGGGGGGAACCCGCGGGCGGCTGACGCGTATGATCGCCTTCGAAAACATTCCCTCGTCCCATGGTGACCCCCACAACGCTTACATTCGCTTGTACAGCCCTCGGTGTCATGCCCGAAAGTTCCACATCGTTTGCAAAAGGGCGCGGAGCATGCCGTCGCCATGTGGCCCACTTCGCCGCAGCGTGCGCAAACTCGCCTCATACCGTGGTACTCGAACATTACGCGGTGCCCTGCGATAGTCGCGAAGTTCGGCACCGGTTTGCTCATCTCGATCTTGACGACCCTTACGCCGTTGAGCTTGTTTTGGCGTGTGGCCACAGTGGCGAACGATATGCCCCTCACTTTGCCGTACTGAGCTAGGGTGTTGCTAAGTACCTCGTCGGACAAGTAGGCGGGGTACCGGTAGGCATTTACGTACGTGACTGGCGGCCCTACGGCCTCAACCGGTACGTTTTCGCCGTTAACCCGGAAGCCTTCCGCCACCATTAATCTTGTCGCCTGACTGGCGTTACGCGTGCAGACGAGGAACCTAGCCCCGCCCATGTGCTGAAGGACAAGTACACTGTCATCCCCAGACACTAGTTCGATCGCGTCGATTAAATCATCGATCGATACGTTGCCGTCGGGCGCCATGAACATGAAGCGATTCTCCCTATTGAGGTGGTCGGACGTTGTGCAATTCTGGTGCACGTTGCCGCTGGCTGCGAGGGGGCGTGGCTGGTAGAAAACTGGTCACGTGCAGGCGAGCTGCGTACTAGTAAGACGGCGGCTCAGTGGAGGTGGGTGCCGCACAGGTACAGGAGACGCCGGGTGGATCGCAGAAGGACTCCGGGATGGCAGGCGTGGACCGGGGGCCTTGCTTCACCAGGCATGGGACGGGTGGGCG